AACAGCAGGATCTGTTACCTTATTTTGCTTACCGGTGGATAGCCCTGTAAGACCCATAGCGGCAATGAGATACTCCTCCGACACAGCACGTGGCATATCAATCTTATTCCCAAGGATTATGAAGGGTGTTCTTGCAAGCTCCTCTGTTTGTAACAGCATATCCAGTTCTTGTTTTGCCTCTTGGAACCGTTCAGGGTTGGCCGCATCCACAATAAAAACAACGCCATCAACCTTCGTAAAGTAATCCTTCCAAAGACGACGAGCTTCCAAGTGCCCCCCCATATCGATTGTCTTTAGTTTGATACCACCCAGTGTGAGCTCCTCCACATTCGGGTGAAATGTGGGCCTGTGGACATGGACTTGATCAGTGGCAAGTTTTCCAAGTAGTGTTGTCTTTCCAGCATTGTCAAGTCCAAGAAATAAAATCTTTCCTGTTTTGTTGCTGAATCCAAGGTAGGACATCATGTCCCAAAACCAGGAAAACCAGCCCATTTTCTTCTACAACGACAGTACTTACGAGAACTAACCAAGAAAAAGTAACAGAGCTGAATACGCGTATAAAGTCTAACCAAAAAAAAACAAAAAAAAAAACTCCCAGTCACAAACAAATAAACAAACAGACACATACACGCAAAACAACAACAACTCGAATCTATTCTTTCACATCAAAATAATCGGCATTAAGCGGAATGGCCCATCAAAGATCACAACTGTACAAATAATAGAAAAAAACAACAACAACGGATCGATCCGCTATTTTTTGAACTTGGATCTGCCTTTAGGTCGTGGTTTATGTGAATTGCACCATGGACGATCACTTTCAACATCCCACTGCCTGGAGTGGGCCAAAAGTTTATATTCCGAGTTCATCACGGTTTCCATATTTGCATAGACCTTCATAGGAACCCCCTCACAACAGGTGTGAAAATGGTCTTTTTGACTAAGAGGCACAAAAAGCGTTCGCTTACACAAACGGCAGCGCTTTAAAAGAACATGCCTTATCTTGAGAAGACGTGTGGGATCATCTGGATTTTGACGTCTGTAAGCACCCTTAAAATACCTAGGATTCACCATCTGTGGACGTCCATTGAGATTTAGCCCAGCAGGTCTACTTTTCCATGGATTAAAAGCTATAATTCTGGCACGATAATAAATTTTCACCATACGTAACATCACTAAATAAATCAAAGATAAGATCAACAAATAATAAAAAAAAAAATCACCGCAATCCCAGTAAACAACAAAAAAGACAGAAGGTGAGGTAAAAGATACCTTCGCCAAGGAAAAAAAAAAAAAAAAAAACACGCACCAATTTACACGTTATAAAAATGTTCTTCATTTATCGCCTTCAACCACACGCATCTGAAATCCATTTAACAGGGAGGATAATATCTAGATCTATTCTGGTATCTAGTCTAAAAGAAAATTGTACCAGCTTTAAGAAAAAAAACAAAAAAAACAAAAAACAAAAAACAAAAACAACAACAACAAAAAAAAATGTAACAAGGTAGTGACAATAAAAACAAATCTTCTATTCTATTCTGCTGCGTTTCCCCTTGTGAATTTCTTCCTCGGAAGAAACGATGTTAACCACTTGATCGCGTAGTACAATTCTTTTCTTTGCCTCCTCAAAGCTATTAATCATCGCTTGATCAACAGCAGAGACTTGTGTACCTGATCTCCTGGATATTTCGTCCAACATAGATTTCAGCTTCTCAAAGCTTCTTACCCAATAGTTCACCTCCTCATTTGCGCGGTGAATAGCTTTCATTGCCCAATCCTTTTCAGTTGCTCGATATCTCTCTGCCTCCTCACGCTTCGCCTTCACCTCTTCCAAGGCCCGTTTATACTCCTTCTTTCGTTCAACTTCGTGATCAAATTTTTTCTGGAGCTTCTGAAACTTTGTTTCAACAGTTTGAATTTTGTGCTTTTCGGCATCCAAATTCAAAAGAAGTTCATGTATCTGTTCATCTTTTTTATTTATCTCAGCAAGGCGTTGATCGTTCACAGAATCCAATTTCCGCAATAAATCCTTCTTCATTTTCTCTGCAACGTCTCTTTGTTTTTCAATAAGACGGATTTCGGATAAAAAGTTCTCAAATTTCTCAACGGAAGCCTTCTCTCTTTCTCCCAGACGAAACTCTGCATCGTTTAACTTCATGTGAAGATTTGTATATCTTTCCTTGGTTTCTTCCTGTACTTTCCTTAAATGATTCAGGGCATCTAAAACCCTCTCGTTTTCTTTAGCACAAGCCTTATCAAATTCCATGACAACAATATCCACTTTTTTAAATATCCAATTCACATAATGCTCAGAAAAAAACATCAGTAACCCTGCGGTGTCATCAAGCTGTCTTGTGACAGAGTGTGAAAAATAAATCTGCTTCTCGGAGGCAGTTGACATTTCTTGTAGAAGATTCTCCGCGTCAAAAATCTTATCGGATAGCAACTTGTTCATATTTTTAAATTCTTCACACCGCTTGCGCTGTGCCTCAACTTCACTCCTCAACAATATGAGGCTTTCCTCATGCTTTCCTACCTTTTCTTGAAGTGCTGCAATCTCAACATTTCTTGTTTCGATTGCATGAGTTTGTTTTATTTCACGCTCTCTCAGCCCCTGGAGTTCTTCTTCAAGATTAACCTTCATTTTATCTGATTTTTGCCTTGCGGCGACCTTTTCAGCATCCAATACCCGGGTAACGTTATCTAATCGACAGATTTCATTAAAGTATCGTGTCAATAAGGCGCCATTCTCCCCACTGAGCAGCAAAATAATATCCTGCATACCTCCAAAGTATTGTTCCTGTACCTTGGACCTGGCCATGGCTTCCTCGTGAAAAAAATTTTCAAAACGATTTTTATTTATCTCTTTCTGTAGTTCCTCAAGTTTATTGCGAAGCTGTGTTAAAAGGTCAGAGCCTTGTAGAACCTTTCCATGAAGCTTTTCATTCTTCGTATTCGCGTCACCCAACTGTTTTGTTATGTTGTTGATCATTTCTTGTCTTGCAAATACCTCTGACTCCAGATTTTTGATAT